TAAATTTGCTAAGATATTGCTCATGTAATAAATCAAACACAGTGGCACCCCGCCTACCTCTTTCCATTTTTGGAAATGCTCCCTTATATACACTTAGTTCTATATATGACATGAATAACAAATCAAAAGCTCAGAATGTCCCCCTAGTGGCTTTTTCAGCCATTTTAATGGACTTGGCAACATTTCTTTCTTTTGAACCAATATTTCAGTGAGGTAGGGTGTGTCATTAGTGTGCTCGAAATTTCATATTTTTTTAGACTAAAATATATCTTTGTTACTAAGCTTTATAAATTATAATAGAATTCTGTGGTATTAATGTAGTAATTTATGATTTTTTAGTTACTTTGTAAAGACCAAAGGTCAGTTTTATGTTATTGGATATGGTAACATGTGTGCTGTGTCATTGTAACTTCTGTATTATTAGCCAGGCACGGTTGAAAGGTCAATATAATAAAAATGATAAATATATATAAATGTATAAGGTTATGAGATTGAAACTATTTAGTCTAAACATTTATATTTTCATGTTATAATTTGTGTTCACTCTATAATGAAAGAGACATAATTTATATTTATTTCCTAATTTATTATGGTTGTTACGAGATCGGTCAAATCTGCCAAACCCATACAGAGATTCATTACTGAAAAGACCAGATAAAATATAAAGTTTATTCTTAGAAATGTTTGATAATTATCTGGACATTATAATAATTTTGCATGTGAAATTTGAAAATTTTCTCATGCATAAAAGTATTTTTAATCTTAAAATGAAAATTACTTTGCATGATAGATAGGTAACATGCAAAAAGAAAAAAAAGGCATGAGAAAAACATTGCTTTACAAATCTTAAGACTTAATAATAAAAAAAATGATATTTTGTGTATGAAAGCATTGTAATGTTTACTGATAATCTGCCAAATATCCTTAACATTCACTTATTAATTTAAAATTATAGCATGAAAACTATAACAAGCACAAAATGGTCCCAGGGACCGAGCCTGTGCTGAAAGAGTTTTAAGCCATCCAAGCAGTCTGCTGTTGCCCTTTGATGTTGTGTTATATATACTGCAGAATACACAGTGATGAACTTCAAAAAATAATCACTGAATATGACGGAACTTTGTAAGAAACAAATAAATTTTGCAATTTTATCTTTAGATACTGATGTGTGCTGTTTTAAGTATGACAATGCAATACATTTACAAGTTAATGCACTATTATACAATAACTTCATTTTATCATTTCTGAGTGTATGTTTATTGGAATGTGAAAGTTTATGATTTGTATGACTAGAGTAAGTGATTAGCTAAATTAGTTAATAATGATTGGTTGGAAAAGAAAACAGATAAAGTGAGTAAAATGAGGGATTGCTCTTGATGACTTTACCTAAACATATGGCTTGTGATATGCACAGTTACTTCTTACTTGTGATATATAATATTATGAGATTTTGATTTTTTTTTTCTTTAAAGTAAGCTTGAAAATTTATACTTAAAATATTTTAGGTAAGAACTGATGTTTTATCAATTATGAAGTTGCTATACCAATAATAAACTGTTGGTCAAAGTGAGATTAGGAAGGAAATTGACAAAAGTAAAAATAATACTGATGTCTGATTATTATCTTCAAACTTAATATTGGAATAAATTCTCACTTTTGTTATTATTTATAGTAGAATATTTTCTACTATTAAAATACACTGTCCTGCCATATTAATATGAGCAGCCTTGCCATTGGGTTTACATTGATGATACTAATCTGCAGTACAACACAAGCACAAAACTGACCAGAAACAAATACATAAGGTTATGTATACTATGAGCATGGAGATATTGTTGATATTTAAGACAGTACTACTATTGTTGGGAGTTTGTATGGTGGGGCACAGTACTTAAGAAGTCATATTTTGTTAAGAATATTCAAATGTATTTATTTTGTAATATTTCTTTCAGTGCATGAAGAACTGAGAGAACTGCATATTAAGCTCTTGAGAAAAGCTAGGAAATGGTTTGGCAAAGAGAAGTGGGAAAAAGCTCTTATAAAGGTAATTTTTTGTTGTTATGTTTTTGTGTATATGTTATGGATAATGTCGTCATTGCCTAATCAGTGGCAATAATGCCCATAACACTTGGGAACTGACAACATTGGCCAGGATAAAGTGTTAATTAAGAACATTAGACAGGAAAAGATTACATTGCTCAGTCATAATCTGCCAACTTTGAAATTTATTTTTTGTAAAGTATCACTTAGCAACATTGGACAGTAAATTTCTAAATTGCCCAGTCTCTAGTCACCCAGTTTTTAAACTTAAATCATGCTGGTAATATCACACCTTAATCAAATATATTAAAAAGTGACAAAACTTTGATTTTTAAAATAGCAGGTTTTAAATAATAAACAACAATGCTTAAGGTACAGAGGCTCATGCCAATACCCACACCATAACCATACTATATTATAGTATTAAAAACAACATCTTGCAAAATTTGTGTACAGTGCTAACAATTCCTGGGTATTATTAACATTGCCCAAAGACAGAGGGAAATGTTGTAATTATCTGGCCATTGGCTTTTATTGAAAATTTCTAGACTTAGGTCACTGCCCTGTTACACCTATATACATAAAAACACAAAATATTGACCAGTCATATGACAATTCATTAGTTGACCTCAGACCACTTTTACTAAGTATTCTTTGTATAAATCCTTTGACAAATACTGAACTGAATGTGAGAAAGTGTAAGAAATGTTAACTAATTTTTTAGTTTTTGTAACATAGATAAATTGTACTGGTTCAAATCATGTAGTAATACATCTTAAATACTAAAAGCCTTTTCTCTTTGAATTTATTCTCATGCTGTCAATAAGTGTGATGCAAAAGTTCTGAATGTCCTTGGTACAGTGCAGAGTATGCATCCAGTCCTTCATATTTGAAAATAGCAGGTGGGTGATTTTTCACTCACCTGAAAATAGTATGGTGACTGATTTTTACCACTCACCTGAAAAATAGTATGGTGAGTGATTTTAGTCATTCAATGAAAAATGTTTTTTTTCAGGTCCATGTATCATTATGTGGAGAATAAAACAAATAGCAAACTTGAAAAAAATCTTCATTTATTTAACTTTTTTCAAAAATTTGTGCATACATGTGTTATCTTCGTAAAAGTTATGCAGTATATTTAGTAATTCCAAACACCCGTAAAATGTATCCTTAATTATCAACATTTGACAAAATTGGGCTTAACTGAATTTTTTTTTCTTTTATATGTAAATAAAAATATTGGCAGATAATCAATGATGTTGGATGAGATGCATAGGATAGGTTACTTCTTCACCAAAGGCAGCACATTTATGAAATTTAAGGAGAGGGTGCACACTTGCCCTATTTAATATAAGCTAAGCAATTATTATGCCTCTTTTTAGTACAGCACCCAAACCTGAAAAATTGTTGTATAAAACTGTTTGACATGAAATTAACCAGAGTTTATCCACTGTTATTTTGAGCATTGGAAAAAATAGTCAAAATCAAGCGCAAAATTAAAGTTATTAATGACACAAAAACTTTTTCAAGAAAGACTTTGGATTAAATAATTAAATGATGAGTAAAGCCAATGCATTAAATAAATCCTGTCAACTTGGCCACTGTTCATGCTGTTCATATTCATTCACAAATATGGAATTGATTTCAACACACTTTTACATGTACTAAATCTTACGTTGGACACATGCATAATTTAAATTTATGACAATTCATTCTCTGCTAGTACAATATCAACGTATCAGTGATATGGTATTGATTCATAAAACTATTTACCTTTACAAGCAACTTGGTTCCACGTTCCTTTTTTTTGTCTCATCGCTGATGGTATCTGGCAATTCCCACTTTAAAAACATGGGCAAGTGTACACTCGTACTGGTCGCTGACATTACTTTTGTGAACTGCCGTTTATGTAAAACAGACTGTAATCTCCAATTTGGATTAATGTGTGCTCAACAACAATACCTGTATTGTGGATTGTCAGTGCCTCAGTAGTAAACAGCTGTATTAGTGGCAGTATGAAAATACCACTCATCACCTGTGCTAAATAGATAAAGTTTTTTTACGTGAGTGACAATGACAAATTTACATGAGCAATAAACAATGCACCTAAAGTAAAATTTATGTGTGTAATCATGAGCAAGCATAATCGCTCACTTCAAATTCGAATGATTGGCATCATTTACTCATAATTCTTCTTTCTCCCACCTTCTACATGATTTATGTGCATGCATCAGGAGAGTGTTGCATAAGCTTTACCTTCTTAGCATAATTCACATTTTCTTGTTTACGGTCATGCTGTTCACATTCTTCTGTGATAGGATTCATGATTAACTCTGAAGCTAATACTTCAGTTAACCCTTTTGAGACGGGTCATGGGTGAAAGGCCATGTCATCTCATTTGTTTACTTGCATTCAAAATTTTAATTAAATCTTTTGACACGGGGTCAGTCAATTTGACTGAGTCACGTGACCATCTGTACTCGTTTAAAGTTGACATAAATGTAATACTTATAACTATATATTGGGTATATCTTCACGAAATTTGTCAGTCTTTCAGTTAATATTACAAGTATTTCTAATAAAATAAAATAAAGATTTGTCCATGAATATATTGAGTATTTGTTTTGAATAGTCCATGTGCAAAGTAATTTTCATGTTAAAATTAAAAATACTTTTCGTCATCTCAAAAATCTCAAATTTCCTTTGTGTAATCTCTAAAACCTCCTAAATGCATTTCATACATTTTGTTTTCATTAAATTCTTATCGTTTTTATGTTATTTTCTTTACCCTATCTTGAAACAAGATCGGTCAATTCGACTGACCTTGTAACCACCAAAAAAAATTAAAATAAACCTAAATTAACTTTCTTTTCTTTCTAGAATGACTTCAAAATGTAACCTGAAACTACATTTGTTTATCCTAAGTAGCTCTTAGTTTGTAAAATTATACATCTATTTATAATTAAATTTTATTGCCCTTTGAATCGTGTCTAACTGCTATCCCTGCCATTATAAGATGTAAAACACTCAAGGAATGTGCAGCTCACGTTACGATCTCGAATTACATTACCAACGAGCTGCTCGAGTGCGTGCCTCGTAAACCATCTTAATTATATTATTATTATTAAATAACTTAAAAAGATCCATACTTTTAATTTTAGTTACTTTTATAATAATAAATAAGGAATAAATATGAAAAACAAGAA